AAAAAAGTTTGTCCTAAAATAATTTGGTACAAAGTTAGCCTCTTTTTTTATTTAATTCATAGCACCTTTTTTTTAACAATTAAGAAATCTAATTAGCGCTATTTGAAAGAATGTACATTATAGTTTTAAAGTATTAAATTTTAAAAGTATTTCCCTTTTATGGAATCCTCCACAAAGCTTCAAAATGTATGTAAAATCGGTCGGCTTTGAAACTCTCGGGAGCTGAAGGGAGGGGAAAGGCGCTGTTAACTGTATCTCTGTTCCTTTTTTATGTATTTCAACGTTTCATTTTGAACTTATATGTACTTTTTGCGTACATTACGAATATGCATTATTTCAATAAATAAATTGTCAAATAAACCAGCTAATTTGTTTAAAAACAATTTTTTTAATTTTTTTTAGTAATATCTAAGTTAAGTTTGAATGTAAGACAGAAGTATTTGTCATTTCCTATATTTTGGGGAATAAGCCACAATTTAAGTTTAATAAGTTTATTTTTGACGTTTCGATTTCTACTTCGGAAATCTTTCTCAGAATACAGAACATTAATAAATTAATCAAATATTTTTTTGGTTACTTGGTAGAAAATTTGGTTGGAAAATTTTCTGATAACTCTTCTGGGTGATTCATTAGGGTGAGGAAGCTCAGTAGATTTGTTATAGTAAAAATTACAAAAAAAAGTTATTGACAAAAATTGTAGATAGCTTTAAACTCCACATTTTAAAATGAGTTACAATCTTACAGGGTGTTCTATAAGATGGTGGCAGACCAAACTTATGTTTTTCAAGTAAAACACCCTGTATTTTATTTTAAATTTGAAATCTGCTTCACTTCTACATCACAACAATGTAAAGTTTTATTATGTTATACCGGGTATTTAAAAAGTTATAACCAATAACTCCCTGTATAATTAAAAAGGAGTATAGGACCATTGATCTATTGCAACCATAGTTTTTTAATAATTGTTAAAAATTATAAAACATATTCGTTTTCATAATATTCGTTAAATCAAATACAGGGTAAGTCAAAATGCAAGTACATTATTTTCTTGATAATTTTAAATAGAACGCCCTGTATTTTAAGTCACTATCGAAAAGTACTAATATCGTACTTCACATTTTATGGAATACTCCCTATACCTAAAGTTATCAATTTTCTAGATAAGTATTAATTTGGTAGATATTTTAACTTTTACCAATAATTATTGAGAGTTGGCCATGATTGATTTGTCAGAAACTGACAGTTTGACATTATTGTTTTTTAATTCAGTAACGAGATAACGACACCACAGAAAAGAAAACAATTTGTTTCAAATAAAATTTATAAAAAATAACCGACTGAAAATAAAAATACAATTTTCAGGTAATATTTATTATAACTTTTTAAATACCCGGTATAAAATAATAAAACTTTATATTATTGTGATGTGGAAGTAAAGCAGCTTTTAAATTTAAAATAAAATACGGGGTGTTTCATTTAAAAAAACATAAGTTTGGTCTGCCACCATCTTATAGAACACCCTGTAAGATTGTAAGTAATTTTAAAATGTGGAGTTTAAAGCTGTCTACAATTTTTGTCAATAACTTTTTTTTGTAATTTTTACTATAACAGATCTACTGAGCTTCCTCACACTAATCAATCACCCAAAAGAGTTATCAGAAAAATTTTCTACCAAGTAACCAAAAACAAAATAAGATTAATTTATTAATGTTCTGCATTCTGAGAAAGACTTCCAAAGTAGAAATCGAAACATCAAAAATAAACTTATTATAAACTTAAATTGTGGCTTAGTCCTCAAAATATAGGAAATGACAAATACTTCTGTTTTACATTTAAACTTAACTTAAATACTATTAAAAAAAATAAAAAAATTGTTTTTAAACAAATTAGGTGGTTTATTTGACAATTTATTTATTGAAATAATGCATATTCGTAATGTACGCAAAAAGTACATACAAGTTCAAAAAGAAACGTTGAAATACATAAAAAGGGAACAGAGATACAGTTAACAGCGCCTTCCCCCTCCCTTCAGCTCCCGAAAGTTTTAAAGCCGACCGATTTTACATACATTTTGAAGCTTTGTGGACGATTCCATTAAAGGGCAATATTTTTAAAATTTAGTACTTTAAAACTACAAAGTATATTCGTTCAAATGGCGCTTATTAGATTTTTTAAGTGTTATAAACAAAGGTGCTATGAATTAAATAAAAAAAGAGGCTAACTTTGTACCAAAATATATTAGGACAAACTTTTTTTTATTTAAACTTGTAAAAAAATTCAGGCTTTTTAAATATATAAAAATAAAATTTTTGCAGTTAATGGTTAAAAAGTTATTCTAATTGTTTTATAAGTAAAAAATCGACATGTTCTTGCAAAATTATTTTGCCATATTTAAAATTAATTTTCTTAATTTTTTTTTAATGTAAATAATAAAACAAGTCTTCTTCTACCAGAAACTACCCCTTGAATTACTAAAACTGTATAAATTTCTGACTAATATTGTTGCAAAAATGTTAATTTGGGATAAACAAATAAAATAACTTTTAAACTATTAGACCGATCACTTTGAAATTTCAACTCTATTTTAAGCACTCAAGATACATCATTCCATGAAATATAAATATTATAAGTTTATTTTCAAAAAAGTTATTAACATTTATAAAAAACCGAAATTTTTGACTTATTTTTTTTATATAACTTATAACTTATAAAAGGTTTTTATATAACTTATAAGTTTTCTCTCCTCTAAAATTTGTTTAAATTGCTTCACTTTTTGCTGATAGACGAAAAAAGCAAAAATTTTCCGTTTTTTTTTCCCTAATTTGTTAATAACTAATTAAGTCCAAAAAGTCGACTGCAGGAAACATATAGGTTTTTGTTATAGAGGTCCGTACTACTCAAAACAACTGTCGTTTGCCTGGCCGGACGAGTGTCATGAAAAATGCTTAATTCCCTGGGCTATATAGCAGAAGACCCGTTTCAAAGCAGCCAAAAATGTGGAAAGATAATGTACAGTCAACAACGACTGAAACAGAATAAGAGGAAGACAAACAGGAGTCATCTTAAAGAAGAAGACTGCATATTTATGCAAAACCTGTCAAAAATCCATATGTTTGCAATGTTCTTGAACAATTTGTATACATTGTACCAGGGTAGAATAGATTTTTAACGTTTTTTGTGATTTGCAGGTTGCAAAATTGCAATTATGTTGTTTTTACCAATTTTTGTATAAAATGTACCTGTTTTTAAACATACATATATTATATTTGTTTGTATATGTTTAATTTTTTTTGAAATATGACTTTAAAAATTTTGTGTCATAAAACATGAAAAAACAGAAAAAACCATTTTTTCTGTTTTTGTTATAAGTCCTAAAGTTTAATTTTTTTTTTTTTTTTCATTTCACTAAATTTTCGTTTCACTAAATAAAAATGACATTACAATATTGTTTTATTATTAAAAACTGTTTTATTGTATTTTTTTAGTGTCAGCTTGACAAAAGCAGCATTTTTAGCCAGGAGTCTGTCAGACCCATGATCACCATTTATGTAATTAAAAATAGGGTCACGATATAAGGCTTATATAAAACATAGGATTTGAATTTCTATGCTATTATCTAAAAAATGATGAAAAGATATATACTAAGGAGCATAAAAAGCAGTTTAAAATATTTTAAAAAACGGATCTTGAAATACATATTATGGATGACGAATAAATGCGGAAATTACACGATGAAAAACACATTTAGGTTTTTTTTATTTAAAAAACTTCCTGTGAAATCCAATTTTTGGATGCAGCTTACAATTTTACATGTAAGCTTGGTGTTCATTCGCTAGGTATACATTTTTTTTTTAATTTTCTAATACAGCGAATAATACTACAAGGAAAAAATCAATTCAAACCGAGCAAAAAATGAAAGAGCGTATGAGGTAGAACGTATGAGGTAGAACGTGGAAAAGATAGGAATAGCTTCTAGATAGACAGAGATTTATGGCAAAAATAATTAAGATCAAAGGAGTATATCAAGAGCAAATGAAAAAGGCGATAACAGATCAAAAATTGACAGTAAGGACTTAATAGAGTGAGTATTTAATTTAAAAGTGATTTTGCTATAAAATTAAAACTTTAATACTATATTAGCAAAATACACTGCGCTCCAAAATTAACGCATAATTTTAAAATTCTTATTTTGAGTTGTAATGAAAAAAATTTTGTTTGTTCTTTTCTGCTTTATGGTTGTTTTAGAACATCTTAAATAAAACTATTCTTTTTTTACAAAAAATGTATTGAAATTAACAATATAACATCCTAACATAAATCATAACATCTAAACGAACTGATCTAAACAAACTAACATCATGAATTAATGAAGAAAAAGTTTTTAAAGTTGAAGAAAATACTACTACCG